CCAGAAAGATACAGCATTGGGCAAAGATCATCCGAATTCAGAAGCCTTCGTGTTTGTTGATAAGGATGGTTTGAGGACCTCTCTAACGTGTAAGGAGATTTTAGACCAGTCTGTGTATTTCGCCAGGCAGCTTAGGAAACTGGGTATACAACCTGGAGAAGTTATTAGTAATCTATTACCCGATTCTCCTAACGGGATAATTGTGTTTTTTGGCACCATCCTTGCAGGTTGCGTCATTCTAAATGGGAAGCTTCAACTTAAAGATGGCAATTATTTGATTCAAAACATCAACAAAACTAATAGTCCACTTCTAATTTTATCGTCTGATCCTAAAGACGAATGTAGGAAATTATTTTCAGAGATAATCGACAATGGAGACGGCAATTCAGTTTCTTCTACAACGCTTCCATTTCTCAAGCATGTCTTGTACACAGAGGTAAACCGAAATATTGGATTCAAATGGGCCAATCAACTACCAGAAAATAATGACGCAGATGATGACGTCATTTGTTACGATGGTAACGCCGATGCAATCATAATGTTGTCGTCTGGAACAACTGGTATGTCCAAAATGACGGTTCATTCTCATTTACTTCTCAAATCCATCCTGGAGCCTGTACAGCCGAAATGTAGAAACGGGATGTTGAATTGTTACTCATTAAGTTGGTTACCAGGTTTACCTCACCACTATGTAATCACCGGCTTGAAATCTGTTTACATAGACCAACGAGACCCTCCTTTAATTCCTTCCATTGGCCAATTTATTTACGACCTGATAAATCAAGAAAAATGCGATTTACTATTTGTAGAATTATGTATTTTAATGCAACTTTTCGAAGTCTTAGAAAATAAAGGAAGACCTAATGACTGGCCGGAACACATAAGATGTCTTCTTGGGGCTCGACCAATATCTTCCGCTGTCGTTGATCGCTGTTTAACTCATTGCGATGTTGTATACAATTTATACGGGTCTACAGAAACCAGTCTCTTCACTTCTAAAAGGATCAGTAAAAATACACTATATGAAGATTTTAATACAGGGGTAGCTTGTTCTGGGGTCGATATTATCATCAGAGATTTCAGCCTCTGTTAGCTATTTTGAAAGTTGTCGGCTGTCAAAGTATCTACCAGAGGTGAGAATAATGAAAGATGCTTCTGCCTGCGTTTTCAGTAATTACGTCGTAATATCGGTTAGATGGTAATTACACCACTGTGTAAGTGAACAGGTTCTGAAAAGTAATACATATAGCTGAATGTAATCTTTATCACCGAGTAATACAAATATTTAGTCGATTATAACCCTAAAAGACCCGTTTGTGCACAACACAGA